GGGGGGGGTGAATAGGTGTTTATGCGAAATTTTCTTTTTCAATCAATTCATAATTGCATCACGTCACAAAAATTAATTTGTCCAGATCAGTTCACATGCTTTACTATCCTATGTTTGAATTCCAGTCATAAATTAATTGCAGAAAGATAAATAACACAATTGTTTAATGGCGGAGAAACCTCAAATTGGGTCAAACTCCGGACCCAAGCCAGTAGGAATCCACTATAAACGAAAACGAAACTTACAATTAGCCAGACTGAACCTACATTGGTTTTTCTGACATCCTGAACATAGTTTTCTCAAGGCCTTCCTGGAATGCGTGATCCTGTACCAACTCCCCACACCTAGCCCTCCTGGATTGCGTGCTACACCAATTCCCGGCTCGTGATTTTGTTTATCTCCAGTGGATTCAAGAGAACCGCCTGTTCTCTAATGATCGGGACTCCAATCTCCTTCTTCGATCTCCAAGAATCAACAAAAGCTCTAGAAGGTTGTATTGTGGTGTTTGATGAATGTTGATTTGATATTTTTCATGTAATTGCTCAAATCAAATATGGGGTTGAATGAGAGAATCAAAGTGTATAAGAGTTTTCTTCAATTTCAATACCTTGAGAGCACACCTCCTAATCGACGCGATTTTTCTCATATGTGTGTATTTGGATATTTTTGGTCGGGTTAAAATGTCGAAAAAAGGAAAATAGGATTTTATGGGTAACACTGTCGCTCGAGCGAAAAGCGAGTGACGGTGTTTCGCTCGAGCGATGTGGGGGCGAGAAGCGAGCGACGACCATTATGGTTTTGTCGCTCGAGCGACCACTTGGCGAGCAGCTAGCGAAACTTCGACGACACATCTTGCCCTACTTCATAGATCGAAACCTAGCACACTTTGCCAAAATTGCAACTGAGTCCCTCATCTTTCACACATGTACACAATGACCCCAAACTTTTGAACATTTACAATTTTACCCTTTTGTTCACAGAATAGCTAACACAAAATCTAACAAACTCCCCCTTTGGCATTCTGTGACAAAACCAAATTACAGCAGCATGAACTACAATGACAATCCAATACACTGACTCAACTCATTGTTGCCTTGTCATCTTTTAACCTGTCTCCTGAAATCACAACTCACATACCCAGTGTAAAAGTATGAGAACAGTAATATAAGTAAACATAAAAAATAAAGAGTCATGAATAGCCATAACATTGTACCAATATGCTAGATTAAGAGATAATATCAATGTAAGTCAAACCACCAAAAACATACATCAATAGTGTAAAACATCAATACATAATCCAGCCAAAAATATAAATAGTACATTTTCAAAGTACTTTATCATTATAAATCCCAAAAATTAACAACCACTCCCCCCTTTTTGTCACAAATGGCAAGGAAAACTCCAACCAACTAAGCAGGACCATCATCTCCGCCATCCACGTCCTCAGAATCCTTAGCGTCAGACTCATAATCCCAGTGCTCGTGCATCCACCGAATACCGTGCTGAACAAGAGCAATAGCCCCTCGCAATGTAGCAAACTTCGCAGTATGACGCTCGGAAGTAGCTCGTAACTGAGTAATGTCAGCCATCATGCGAGCCTGCTGCTCAATGAGAATCGACATCTGACCCATAAGTGCGACAGCGGGGTCAACATGAACAGTAGCTGGAGCAAGCTGGTCGGGTGGCAGAATGAAAGTGGAAGAAAAGAGAATATCTGAAGCGGACGGAGGAACCTCGGAAGGAGGCGGAGGAATAGTTGAGAGATCAGCAAGTAAATCACCCAAAGGATCAGCGGGCACTGTCGGGTCGACAGGCTCAGCTGGCTCAGATACAGAGGCAAAAGAAGTGACATGTGACCTACTTTGAGAGATAGTAGTGTGCCCTATGGGACGAAGCACTCGTTGTGAGACCCCATCGGGAAATGAAGCCCCAAGTGATGTCACCAAGCGGTGGATTAAGCAAGCATAATGTAGACCAATTCGATGACCGAAAGTGCGAAAGGTACGTAGAATGTGATGGCAAATGAAGGTAGGTAGGTTAATCGAATCCCCATGCAGTAAAGCAAAAAAAAAAACCTCACCTTTTCCATAGGTAGAGAAGAAGTGTGAGAGATGGACCACAGATTTGTACACACAATGCGTAACAAAATCTGTCTATCAGTGGGGAGCGAACTAGTGCGGATCGCCTCAGGCCCACCTCCCAAAGGGCTATTAAACAAAGTGGACCGAACTGGAGAACCGGCCGGAATAGAATCAGCCAAGAGATATGGGTAAACGGGGTGAATGACCCGGGGAACATGTATGGAACTGGAAGTAATATCTGGTGAAATCCTAAGGGTTTGACCCTGAAGGAACACTCGGAAGGACGAACCACTAATGTAATGGATGTTCGCATAGAACTCTTGAATAAGAAGACTAGGCAAGGGATTTAACCCAATCAACAAGGATTCCCAACCTCGAGAAGTAAAGATAACTGCCACATCTGGAGATAGGTCGGATAGAGTAACCTCATGCTCTACTAGGACAAGACGATGGGAAAACTGGCTCCCAAAGACTTCTTGAGCGGTAAAGGAAATGAATCGAGAACGACTAAACAAACCTGATCCACTACCAGGCTGAGCTATGGTCCTAGCCCTCTTAGGTGCCATCTGCAATGCGAGATGTAGAAGATAGATCAATCCCCAAGGAAAACAAAGTGATGGAGACACATGACTATACAAGCCCTAAAGTGCAATCACACCCAAGCCCGAGGACTATGACCAAGACGGAAGTGACGTGAACTAGACATAAACAAGATCAAGAAGAGATTTTGACACACATAAAAACTTCCAATATCTATTGAGAATTGATGAGTCCTATTTCAAACAACCCTCCAAACGTAGTACATGCAATAACGGAGAAGTGTAAGCACCGATTTGTTAGGTGATTGATGTGAAGTTTGACGACTTAATAGGAGAAGTGTGCACATCACGTTATTGGAAATAAGATCAAATAAATAATGAACTCACATTTTTAGTACCTAAGACACCAATCACACGTGAGGAATGACACACAATGGGCAAGAGAAGCAGGGTTATGGCGAGGAGACATTTCATCGAACACAATGTAGGCACAAGAAAGATAATCTACAAATACAATAATGCAATAGACACCCAACAAACCATAACAACATCATCTACTCAGCATACCAAAAAAGCACCCAAGCCTAAAGTAACCAAATGGCGAAGAGAAAAACAAAAAACAACCAACAAACCAATGGGAAATGAAACCACTTACCAAATGGAAGGAATAAATCACCAAGGAATGCACACAAGGAAGAGAAATGAAAGTTCCACACGTGAGAAAGCAAGGGGAAATTGACCAAAGAGTATTGATTTGAGAGAGAGATGGGAAGAAATGAAAAAAAATGAGCCAAAATCGTTGCGAGAAAATTATAAGTCTCGCTGTCGCTTGAGCAAGACTCGAGCGAACAGTGAGCGACAAAGGCACTGCTTCTGTCGCTCGAGCGAGCTCCCAACGACAAGCGAGCGACGGGGAAATGACAAAAATAGCACCTAAACTTGAAAATTTGAAAAGTTAGGCCCAGGTTTAAAACTTTGCAAAATAACAGCACTTTAGAAATTTTTAAAAATAACACCTTTTTCAGAAATTTGAATTTAGACCCCTGTTTTTTTTAAAATTTAAAATACACGAACAATGCAGAGGTAGTTGGTCCTATAAAAGGCAACAGATCACAAATACGGCATGCACAGTGATTAGAAAATGTTTTCCCACACATCGGGACCAAGTACAGATGGAGTAAATTGTATATGTGACCCCTCGTGCAACATGCCACTCATTCCAAGCAAGTAAGACTCAAAACCTTGAATTTATGAGAAGAGACAGCCTAATCACCGACGTAGGAGTCAACACTTAGATGTTTGAAGGTCAAATCTAATGCCACTAGGACCTATACTTCGTTAAAATATGGTGTAAAACTGTTATTTCTCCCCCTGTCATTAAGGACCTCAAAATTTCTTTTTTTTTTTTTTATCTTACGTGCAATCCCATTTCCATTAAGCTACTAAGAAGACCTCTTTAACGAGCGTTGGGTCGGTGACTCCCAAACCAGTTGGCTTTAGGGCACCAGGTGATGAGAAACCCCTCAAACTTAATTGCTCGAGTCATCTAGGCTCCGAAGATAGGTATAAGATGTGATATAATAAATACTCCGTGGAAACACTGGAGGTTACACCAGAAGTTAGGTCATCTAGTCCAAGATCAATTCAAATCCAATGTCTACTCAACGACAGATGATAGCCATCACAAGTCTCACACATGTGGTCAAGACTCACTCATACGGTCCTAGTGTGTGTTGTGCAAATATAATATGAAGTGACATATACTAAGTACTCCATACAGACTCAGGATAAGTGATGATAATTAGAAAATAATCATGTGTAGAATGCACATTTGATTTCAAATTGCAACTCCGAGGGAACAACTACAATGCAAAAATGACATGTGATGATCAATTTATTATTATTATTATTATTATTATTATTATTATTATTATTATTATTATTATTATTATTATTGTTTTTTAATTTTTTGTTTATTTATAAAAAAACAAAGACAGATGCAAATGAACACACAGGGGTAACGTAATGAATGTAGAAAATAATGCATACATCTATGAAGAAGATCAGGGAGGAACACAGATGCCAACAGCTTTCCTAAGTGACTCGAATCTAAACCCATCTAGAGGTTTAGTGAACAGATCGACAAGTTGATTTTCAGTAGAGATGTGTTCAAGAGATAGCACATTGAACTCAACTAGCTCTCGAATAAAGTGATGGCAAATGTTAATGTGTTTGGTCCTAGAATGTTGAACCGGATTTTTTGATATGTTGATAGCACTAGTATTGTCACAGAAAATAGTCATAGTATCCTGATTTATCCCATAGTCACTCAGCATTTGCTTCATCCAAAGCAGTTGAGTTCAACAGCTACCAACTGCAATGTATTCTGCCTCGGCTGTGGATAAGGAGACCGAGGTTTGTTTCTTACTCATCCATGAGACAAGATTAGAACCAACATAGAAACATCCACCCGATGTACTTTTTCTATCGTCGGTGTTTCCGGCCCAATCGACATCAGAATAGCCGACTAGTTCTAGATTGGACTCTTTGGAATACAAGATCCCATGATCTACTGTCCCATTGATATATTTAATAATGCGCCTCATTGCACTTAGATGGGATTCCTTAGGATCAGTTTGAAATCTAGCACATACACCAACACTAAACGCTATGTCAGGTCTACTGGCTGTAAGATATAGTAAACTGCCTATCATGCTCCCATACACAGTCTGATCAACACTCTTACTTGTAGGATCATGTCCTAACTTAACATTTGTGCTCATGGGTGTCCTTGTATGTTTCTTACTGTCCAAACCAAATCTCTTCACAAGGTCTTTGGCATATTTGGATTAAGAGATAAACAGCCCACAATCAGTTTGCTTTACTTGAAGACCAAGGAAGTAACTTAGCTCTCCAACCATGCTCATTTCAAATTCTTGTTTCATGCATTCAGCAAATTCAATAGCAAAAGAGTCAATGGGAGAACCAAAGATGATGTCATCGACATAGATTTGAGCTACAGTGATAGTTTCTTCAATAAGTCTAATGAATAAGGTTCTGTCAGCACCACCTTGTGAGAACCCATGCTCAACGAAGTAAGTGGTGAGTCTGTCATACCAAGCTCTAGGAGCTTGTTTCAGACCATACAGTGTTTTATTTAGTTTGTAGACATAATGAGGAAACTTAGGGTTAATGAATCCTTTCGGCTATTCAATATACGCCTCTTCTTGGAGTATTCCATTCAAGAATGTACTATTGACATCCATTTGATATAGCTTGAACCCTAAGGTACATGCAACCACAAGAAGAATACGAATGGACTCAAGACGAGCAACTGGGGCAAAAGTCTCATCAAAATCTACCCCTTCCACCTGAGTGTATCCCTGGACAACTAGTCTAGCCTTATTTCTAGTTATAGTACATTGGTTATCGATTTTGTTCTTGAAAATCCACTTAGTACCTATCATATTAGAGTCATCAGGCCTAGGAACTAGATTCCAGACATTATTTCGAACGAATTGATTAAGCTCCTCATGCATGGCATTCACCCAACATTCATCTCTAAGGGCTTCCTCTACTTTCTTAGGTTTAATCTGGGATATATAGCTAGTATATGTTAGGTTATTTAGAACTCTCTTTCGTAACCTCATTCCTTCATCCAAATCCCCAATGATGTTAACCTTAGGATGATTATATTTGACCTTAGAAGATGGTTCTCTGGGAAGCTTAGACTGATCCCAATTTGGTAGACCCTGCTCAGATATGTTTTCTAAGGACCATGGAGATTTTGGGATTGAGTGCTCTTTATTTTTAGCAGTGGCTCCTCGATCTTCACTTAGATCTTCTATGTCAACCCCATTTTCAGCACTCTCATCCTCGGTAAAGGCATCATCAATAACAATATTTACAGATTGCAAGACACTCTGAGTACGTAAGCCGTAAACTCAGTATGCTATACTATTCTTAGAATATCCTAGAAAAATCCCATCATTACTTTTGGAATCAAACTTGCCTAGATTTTCTCTATCCCTCAGATGTAACATTTGCTGCCAAACACCCGAAAGTATTAACAATAGGCTTCTTGCCTTTCCGGATCTCATAGGGAGTCTTGTCTGATTTCGGTCTCAAGTATATCCTATTTATTATGTGGCACGCGGTGTTAATAGCTTCACCCCAGAAATGCATTGCTAGATCCTTGCCGTGAAGCATGGCCCTAGCCATTTCTTGAAGCACTCTATTCTTCCTCTCAACAACTTCATTTTGCTGTGGAGTGATTGGTGAGAAGAACTCATGCTTAATCCCCTCCTCCAAGCAGAAGTTTTCTAGATTGAAGTTTTCAAATTCTTTTCCATGATCACTTCGAACCCTAGAAATAGGAAGATTTTGTTCAACTTTGAGTCTTTTACATAAGGACTTAACCAGATCACCCGTCCCAGATTTTTCTCTTAACAGATCAATCTAGGTGTATCTAGAAAAATCATCTACCACAACCAGGATATACCGTTTGCCTCCTAGGTTCTCTACCCTAGATGGTCCCATTAAATCCATATGGAGAAGCTCTAGGGCTCTATTCGTCAAGATTTTTGAGGTTCGCTTATGGTTTATCCTGAATTGCTTTCCTTGTTGACACGGCTTGCACACAGCATTCTCACTTTGATCAATTTTAGGTAAACCATCGACAATCTTCTTTTTGACCAATTTTGACAGACTTCTGTAGTTAACATGATCGAGTCTTTGATGCCAAAGTTCAGACATATCAATTTTAGCACTACTGCATACATAGTTCGAGTTTGGAAAAACTCCATAACAGTTGTCAGATGTTCTAACACCTTCAAGAACAACACCACCAGAAGCATCATAAACAGTGCATCTCTTTTGGACAAAACTCACTTCATAGTCAGCATCACAGATTTGACTAATGCTCAATAAGTTGGACTTAAGACCCTCTACATAAAGTACATTGAATATTGGAGGAAGTCCAGCAATGGTGATGGAGCCTTTACCTTGGATGGGTGCCGTAGCTCCGTCTCCAAAGGTAACTACACTGCCGTTGCAGTCATCAAAGGTAGAGAATAAGGCCTTGTTTACCACACGTGTCTAGAACAAGCATTATCAAGATACCACATGCATGTATTTTATACCTTATATGCAACATGAGCAACAAAACATTTTAGACTCTCAGTATACTCACCCACATCAGATTTCTTTACCCAAACTTTTCTCGAGGTTAAGGTGATCCCAGTCAACCTTGTTACCATCTCAGTTAAGTGGCTAACCTGATTTGAAAGGAAGTTCACTTGACTAAGGATATCCTGACTTCGATTCCTATTTGCTAGCTTTCGACACCTAGGTCTCGTGTGGCCTAAGGTACCATAGTGATGACAAGTGGGTATGAACCTAGGTTCAGATGTACGTGAGTGTTGATTATGAAAATTAGGTGTAGAAATCTTATGAGCTCTAGTGCCCTCAGTCCATTAAAATTTTTGTCTTTGGATTCTGGATTTGTTGAAACATTAGATCTGTTGGAAGCGGGGACAAATGTGGTCTTTGATAAACTAGACACATTGCTATCACTCTTCACAAATCTTAGACCTTGCCTATTTCCAGTTGGTTTGTTCATTCCTAACAGATCGTCTAGTTTCTTAGTTCCACTCACAAATGATTGTAGTTGAGTGTTGGATTTCTCTAATTCACAGGTCAATGTCTTGACCGTGTCCTCTAATTTCTCATTGACATACTTCAACTCACTGAGATTCTTAGATGAGACTTGAAGATCATAGGTGATTTTCTCATTCTCTCTCTCAAGCTCGTCTACCTTCTTAAATAGGGCTTTATTTACCTTTTTGATCTTGAGACTTTCCTTAAACAGAAGTTGATAAGCCTCATGTATATCCGTCTCATCCTCCGAATCATCACCGAACTTGTTACTCTCCACTTCTTCCTCAATCTTCTCACTCTTCTTGTCTGACTCGCTCTTGACAGTAGATACAGAAGCCATATAGCCCTTTTCCTCCTCACTGCTTGAGGAATCACTTTGTTCACTTAAATTAGAATCATCATCAGTCAAGGACACAGTTAATGCCTTCCTACTTCCCTTCTTTAGATTTTTTTAAAGCTAGGACATTCATTTCTATAGTGCCTAAATCCCTGACGCTCATGACACCTAACCCCTTGAGATTTCTTACCAGGGTTCCCAGCAGTTGATTTATCATCCTTCTCTCTTTGCAATTTACTAGGGGCTTTTCTCATTTTCTCTTGAGGTCATTTTTTACCCTTTAAGACTTTTTGGAATTTTTTCACAAAGTAGGCAATCTCCTCATCTCTAAGAGTTTCCATGTCAGATGACTCAGACTCCCCTTCCCAAACAATGTTCAGGGCTATGGACTTATTTTTCCTTGGTTGTGAAATGGTGAGTTCATAGGTTTGAAAAGATCCTACGAGTTCTTCTATCTTAATTGTATCCAGATCCTTGCTTTCTTCAATAGCTGTAACTTTAGGTCTAAATCTCTCGGGCAAGGATCTAAGAACCTTTCTCACAATTTTGGGCTCGGAAATCCCCTCACCTAGGTTGAAACTAGAGTTAACAATGGCATTCAATTTGGCATAGAATTCATCAAAAGATTCATCATCCTTATCCTGATTTCTTCAAACCTTGAGATTAGCATTTGCAATTTTGAATTTTTTTACAGTTTTAGTTCCCTCATGCGTAGTGTCTAGAATGTCCCATACCTCTTTAGCAGTTTCACACATTGATACTCTCTTAAATTCTTCGGGAGATACGGACATAAACAAGGCATGAAGCCCTTTGCTATTCCAATTGCAATCAGCTAATTCTTCCTTAGTCCAAAGTGAAATATCAGTTAGATTGACAACACCTGACACGGTTGTAGAAGGAGGTTTCCAACCATTTTGTACGCTCACCCAAACACGTTCATCTAAGGATTTAAGAAAAGCACGCATCCTAACCTTCCAGTAGGCATAGTTGCTTCTGTCAAAATACGGAGGCATGGACATTGATTGACTCATCTAGACAACAATGGGTCAGGACTCGAGTTTTGGCTCTGATACCACTTGAAATATCGTAGTTCGACCTAATCAACACCTAGAGGAGGTGAATAGGTGTTTATGCGGAATTTTCTTTTTAAATCAATTAATAATTGCAACACGTCACAAAAATTAATTTATCCAGATCAGTTCACATGCTTTACTATCCTATGTTTGAATTCCGATCATAAATTAATTGCAGAAAGATAAATAACACAATTGTTTGATGATGGAAAAACCCCAATGTGGGTAAAACTCCGGGCCCAAGCCAGTAGGAATCCACTATAAACGAAAACGAAACTTACAATCAGCCAGACTCAACCTACACTGGTTTTTCTGACATCCTGAACATAGTTTTCTTAAGGCCTTCCTGGAATACGTGATCCTGCACCAATTCCCGGCACCTAGCCTTCCTGGATTGCGTGTTTTACCAGTTCTCGGCTTTTGATTTTGTTTATCTCCAGTGGATTTAAGAGAACCGCATGCTCTATAATGATCGGGACTCCGATCTCCTTCCTCGATCTCCAAGAATCAACAAAAGCTCTAGAATGTTGTGTTGTGGTGTTTGGTGAATGTTGATTTGATATTTTTCATGTAATTGGTCAAATCAAATATGGGGTTAAATGAGAAAATCAAAGTGTATAAGAGTTTTCTTCAATTTCAATACCTTGAGAGCACACCTCCTAATCGGCGAGATTGTTCTCATATGTGTGTATTTGGATATTTTTGGTCTGGTTAAAATGGCGAAAAAAGGAAAATAGGGTTTTATGGGTAACACTGTCGCTCGAGCGAAAAGCGAGCGACGATGTTTCACTCGAGCGAAGTGGGGGGGAGAAGCGAGCGACGACCATTTTGTTTTTGTCGCTCGAGCTACGACTTGGCGAGCAGCTAACGAAACTTCGACGACACATCTTGCCCTACTTCATAGATCGAACCCTAGCACACTTTGCCAAAATTGCAACTGAGTCTCACATCTTTCACACATGTACACAATGACCCCTAACCTTTAATAATTGACAAATTGACCCCAAACTTTTGATCATTTACAATTTTACCCTTTTGTTCATAGAATAGCCAACACAAAATCTAACAAAGAAATGCAAGAACTTAGCAAATTTATCAACTCCAATATGGCTTGTTGAGTTTTCTGTCAATTTTTGTCTGCTTAACTGTGGCAGGATTGCAGCTATGGCATTTGAAGTCTTTTTTTAAAAAGAAGAAACTCCTCTCTAATATTGCATTCAATTTATGTTTTTGCCTCTTCTTTTGGCTGCTGTATATATGTACAATTTTGCACTCAACAACGTAGTTGAAAGAGGGAATCTACATTCTTGATTCATTGTTACTGCCCATTGGTACACTTTGTGGGATAGATTACCCTGTCTGGAGAGGTGGGTTGTGTTAGATGTGGCTCTCTCCTCGCAGTTAGCCTGAGCGACCATATTTTGTACGAGGCATTTGCTCAGGCAGTCCAATACCACTATCATATTTGAGATAGCTTTCTGTTTATTTCTCCATTCAAGATTGTAAGGACATAGTAGAAAAGTTATATGACAATTTTTACATGTCTATAGTCACATTTTTTTCCTTATTTTTAAGGTGTGAAAAGGTCTTCTAGTTTCTTGCTCTTGTAAATTGTTACAAACACTTCAAAATGCTTCTAAGAAATTCTAAAATGTACAAAACCGGGTTCAAAGCTCTTGCTTTAGAGCTGTGAAAATTTGAACATGGTATGTTTCATTCACACTAGTAAAAAGTGTAGAGTAATTTGGTTACTCGAACATTATATAAATTCAGTTGTGAGAAGTGCAAGAAGGGATTTTAATCTTCCCTTTAGTGTTATCAAAAAATCATTAGTGGACATGGGCTAATGCGATATAGGTTGGTTTGTAAGTCATGTCGATCATAACTTTTTTAAGGGGTTTTTTTTCTTTTTTAATACAAAATCTTACTTTTCTTGACAGCAGCAATTAGTTGAGAAGCTATGGCTTAGGGTAGTTGCTTACTTGAAAGCCAATCTTACTTCACTATATTTTCCAAGTTTGATCAATAATATAAAACATTTATTTATTCCAAAATTTACTTAAATATTGTCAACTATTGTCATATTGATGTCCCTTCTTTTTTTCTTTTTTTTTAATGTATTTTTAAATAGTGATTGATGGAGAATGTGCTGTTAAAATATAAGAAAAAGTTTTTGAATTTGCGTATAATATTATTTTATTGAAAATAATGTAATTGAAAAGATAAGATAGGAAACTGCGTTTTGAAAAAAATGGGAATCAAACAAGACCATAATGGTAATTCCAATCAAAAGAAAGAGATGAGAATCTTCCATTAGATGTTCTGCTAGATGTCCATATATATGCGGTTATAGTGCGTGAGAAAATAAATATGATAATTTATAAAGATATGGTTTTTCATACTTTTGATTCAGACGAGATTATTTAAGTTAAAAATACTATTGTAGATATTATCATAAAATTAAGGTTTTTGCGTGCGAATATGATTGACAAATAAGAAATCAATCAACATAAATAAATGTATTAGAATAATTTAATTAAATATTTTATATTGCTAGATGAGATAGCATTTTCTCTAATTTTATTTCTTTACACTCTTGATACTTATACTTTATTTATATTAAATAATTAAATAATATTATCATAGCACTGAATGTGCGAAAAATTAGCATCCAAAGTTTATAACTTTCTTTAGTTAATATTTTAAATCAATTTAATTTGTTCATTTTTTTTTAAGGAAAATCGAAATTCATAGAAATATGATTAAGATGAATTATTCTATATAAAAAGATTTAAAATCAAAAATAAAATTAAGCCCTATTTGATTGGGATTAAAACTAGTTTTTTTTATATAAATTTTGAAAAATGTTAGTAAAATACGTAGCTAAAAAGTAATGAATTTTATAAAATATGTAATTAAAATTAATTGTAATTTAATCCAACCAAACATGACTTAGTTAAAATATCAAACCCTTGTTTGATCCTATTATTTTTCAAATATATTTTTCATTCTTTTCTTTTCAATTATGTATTTTTTAATAAAACAATATTAAACGTAAATTGAATTTTATTTTTATTTTTAATCAGGGATTTTCATTAATCTATTATTTCAAAATACAGCAAAAAAATTGGGCTCAGAACAATAAAGAGCATAGGGGTATTTTTATAAATGGCCCAGTCAAATCTTTCAAACTTTTTTAGGCCCAACTTACTATAAAAAAATTTTTGAGGCCCTTTTTATGTTAAAATGTCAAATTTTTCCTTGTACATATTGTTGAAATATCCCAAATACCCTTAATATATAATGACCAAAATGCCCAATTTTCATATTATAATCGTTAGTTTTCTTTATTTGAAATTCCAACGTCTTCCCCTCCTCCCCCTTCTCTTTTTCTTCTTCTTCTTCTTCTTTAGTTTATCTAATATTCTACTTCTTTGTTCTTTTTTCTTTTCTAGTTTTACTCAAAGCATAAAGAGGCACCTTAAAAAACAAACTCTTATATCTCTATATTTTATATTGGTAAGATGTCCTTCTCACCTACTTTTAGTTATTTTTTGATTTGCACATATATTCATTGTCATTTCTGTTTATTTAAGTATTTGAATTCATTTTCGATCTCAAGTGACTTTGGAAAGCAGAATCTCGTATATTTTAGTGACAAAATCGGAATGTACGTTTAAAACGACTGGGGTTGACCATAGAAACAATGGTTGTTTAACGTCGTTTTAAACGATCATAGAAACGACTATAGTCACTTTAGCTTACAATAATTGATTATTTCCTAACTTTCTAAATTAATACTATTCTAATTACAGATATGGACTCAACAACATGGATTGCCATATTTTATTTTGGTGATTTTATTAATGATGATGAAGGAAAATGGATATGGAAACGAAGTGAGGATGATGAAATGGTGGAAAAAGTTCCAATATCTTTAGATACTTCATATCACGATCTATATTGTGAAGTGCTAAACATTTGCAAAGTTGATTCATCTTCGCATAAAATTGAGATGAGATTTCTTCTACCTGGAAATGGACAGTATTCAGTTCCAATTAAAATTACTTTAGACAGGCAAGTGCAGTGGTTGCCATCTCTCAACAAAAAAAAATTCTCATTGTCCAATTTGTGTAACTCTTGTGACCAAAAATCCGGTTGACCATCTACAAGAAAAAGACAATGACTCATTTTATGAAGTGGAAGACGATGAAGTTCATTGTGAAATGCAAAACGAAGGCAGCAATCTTCATTGTGAAATGCATGCAGATGACAACAATGAAGTGGATCGAACTGAGAATATTAATTGGGATGAGTTGGAGATAGCCTAAGACAATGATTTGGATATTACCGAAAAATGGTAACACTATTGTCTTTTTTACACATGAATTCGAGATGCTTCAAAACAATAGAGAAGAAAATCTTTTTACTAATGAGCATCTTGTAATTTCAACTCTTTCGTCACATGTGATTCCCGAAGATGCAGATTTAGAAGATCGTTAAATTTTCAACAGCAAAAAAAATCTTATGATGGAAGTTCACATGCTTACAATGAAGTACAATTTTGAATTTAGAGTGAAGAAATCAAATAAAAAAGTCTATACAATTGTTTGCATAGATGAAAATTACAAATGGCGCTTGCGAGCAACGAAATTCAAAAATTGTGATTACTTTCAAATTCGCAAGTATGCAAGTGAACATACTTGCTCTGTGAGTATTCGTCGAAACGATCATAGACAAGCAAGATCATGGGTTGTTGGAAGACATATAATGCCTAAATTTTAAAATCTCAACACTATATATAGACCTACAGACGTCATTGATGACATGCGTCGGGAATTCGAGGTAGAAATGAGTTATCAGAGGGCACGAAAGTCATGAGAATATGCTTTTGAACTTTTAAGAGGTTCCCCTGAGGATAGTACTGCTAAATTGGGCTTATATTCTCATAATTTGGCTAGAACTAATCCTGAAACAGCATTGTTCGTAGAGATTGACAATGAGAACCGCTTTAAATATTTTTTTATGGCTCTCGGACCTTACATTCGCAGATTTCGCTCTTCGATGCGGAAGGTGGTTGTCGTTGATGCAACATTTTTTATTGGAAAATATAAAGGTACCTTAATTGTTGCTACTTTTTAAGATGCAAATATTCAAATTTATCCTCTTGTTTGGGGTATAGTTGATTCTGAGAATGATGCATCGTGGACTTGATTTTTTATGAAGTTGAAAGAAGTGACGGGGGATAATGAAGATCTTGTTGTTATATCTGATCGACATCCAAGTATTATCAATGGAGTTCGAGCTATCTATCAAAATGTCCATCATGGTCATTGCATATATCATATAAAAGGTAACTTAAGGATGGTAACTCGAAAAACTGAGATTTTCCTACTGTTTAAGAAAGTAGCAGAGGCATATATTTTAGAAGAGTTTGGAAATTATATGAGCAAAATTGAGAGATTGATATTAAAGCTTGGGATTATTTAGTCAAAATACCTTTCCATACTTGGGCCAGGTCACACTTTTAGGGGAATTGTTACAATATCATGATATCAAACAATGCAAAGTCATTGAATTCGGTGTTTAAGAAAAATCGACAGAATTCGATACTTGCGCTGATTGAGAGTATTAGAAAAAGATTGCAGAAATGATTTTATGAGAGGTGTACAAATGCACAGA